CCCCAAAACCCCAAAACCCCAAAACCCCAAAACCCCATGAGTGTAGGAATTTGATTATTAGAAATCTTCAATAAATTATCAAACATCATTACTCTTTTTGGATTTCCATGAATACAATACCATCTAACTCGAAGCATTTAGACATCATAACTTTGTTTCCTCCGACCATATCCTTAATTTTAGAGAATATCAAGGCCTCATCTGTCTACTTTCTGCGATTGAATTTCAAGAATTCATAAACCTTTTGGAAAAGATCATTTCCCATAGCATTTTGAATTGTTTATTTTTTGTTCACAACAACAATCTCTTTGTTTTAAACTTCACTAGGTCTTGTCTATAATTATATTTCTTCAGGTTCTTCTATTTCGCCACTCAGAATTCTCTGGTAATTCTTCATAACTTCCCTCAACTCCTGTTTATCTTCCTTTGCCTCAACATCTTCTTCAAAGTCTTCTTCTATATCGAATTCATTTCTAGCCATAGTCAGATCATACTGGCCCGAACCAGATATTTATCTGTCTTCGTACATATTACTGTAGACAGAGGGGTTGTTAAATTTTGAAGGGCTTTCATTCAAATTCATGCCTGACATCTATGAACTTATACTCTAAGAAAATTCAGTAGTTCTATCATTAGCAGAAAAATCAGTGTCTTCAAATCTATCACTAGCTTCAAACATCTATGGTGACTATTGTTTCTAAACAGCTGGCTGGTGAAAGGCTGTTTGATCAAATTAAGCAACTGGCTTATTATGAATAACTGTCTATTAGAAGCTATTATTAGCTCCTTTAATGCTTGAGTGAAGTTAATTGTATTGCATTTGCTTTGAAAATTAGTAGTTATTCATTGCATTCTTTGAGTGGGCTGCTAATTCTTCTTATTTTCTCTTGACCTCCTCTTCTTTTCTTCTTTAAATTCTTTCTTTAGGGGTTAAGCCAGCATATGGATCAATTCCAGTTGGATTTTGCTAAACTTAAACAATCAATGGTGCATTTCTCACATATACTGGTTTACTCTCCGAAATTGTAACACCACCAGAGTTTACAAATTCAATCATTTTTTATCTTACTAATGGCATTTGTAGAATTTAAGCAACAGATGGTCTTTCAGCAGCATTTTTATTCAATAACTATTGAATAAGATTTTGGAGGTCATTGCTGTAGTGTGAAGGAATCGGATCATATTTATCTTGGACAATTTTGTAAACCAGACCCAATAAATTATCAGCTGAGAATGCATGCTTCAGGGTACATAGTTCATACAAGACACATCCTAATGCCCATACATCACTCTTAAATGTATAAGGATGATTCTAGCAAACTTCTGGACTCATATAATAAGGTGTTCCTACTACCGTCATCGCAGCACCATTGGTATTCTCTAAGACTTTAGAAATACCGAAATCTCCTAACTTTACTGTATTATTACCAGTCAAAAAGATGTTTTATGACTTTAAATCTCTATGTAAAACTTTCCTTCCATGAATATACTCAAGTGAAAGGCATAATTAGACGAACCAATTGAAGATTTCAGTCTCTGTAAAATGCTCGTTCTTCTAAAGTTTTCTTTTGATATGGAAAGATAAATCACCAACTATAAAATTATGAATGAATATTTGTGGAGTCCAGTTTATTGCATATGAAATAATCTATAATAATTTTACCTTCACAATATTCCATGATAATGATCAGCAAACCTTGAGTAATGAAGCTTGTTTTATATGCAACAATATTAGGGTGATTTAAAGCCTTTAACAAATTCACTTCGAGCAAAGCAGACTCTTGTTCATTTTTAGCTAAAGAACCAAGTAATATTTTCTTTGCTATATATTATTTTCCTTCTGATTTGCTATTTACAAGATAAGCAGCCCCTATTTAAGTTAGCTGTAAATGTAACTTACCAAAATTTCCTCTTCCAATGCACTGGACTTCTTCGTATTCAGATTAGTATTATGCTTCCATTTTAAAGATCTCTAAATCTTTTGTTAAGTTTATTCTAATAGGTTTAAAAATATATTAAAACACTTAATCATCTATTATCAATCATCATATTATATTCAATATACTTAATAATCCTATTAAACTATTTATTTAATGGACGGTAAAAAGTCATCAAGATCGAAGTCAAACACTAAAAAGAAGGACTAAATCTCAGAATCTTCACTCTCTGAAGAAGAAAAGTCATTTGTTGAAAAGATGAAAAAGAGAGCAATTGTTAAGACTCATGGAATTGATAATGTATGCATATAAACCATATATAAGTGATTTATAGGCCTCAACATTTGAGCACCCAGCATCATTCACTGGCACTACTAAAGAGCTAGACAAAGTTAGCTTGAAGAACTTCATAGAAAATTGTGATATTGAGGTTTTAAAGCTTGACGAGGAAGAGATAGTCTTTGATTTAGTAGGAGTGGAACCACCCCTAGCTAATGCACTCAGAAGAATACTTATTGCAGAAATCCCAACGATGGCTATTGAAAAGGTCAATATGTGGTAGAATACATCAATCATTCCAGATGAGAATTTAGCTCACAGAATGGGACTAATTCCTATTAAAGCAGATCCAAGGCATTTTGAATACCATGAGAAAAGTGCCTCGGAAAATCAGGATGCGGAAAGCGGAGACTAATACAATGAAAATGACAGCTTAAGGTTTAAATTGCATGTAAGATGTACAATGAAGGACCCAAGAGCTCCAGCAATCATAAATAACACTGTTGATGAAGATAAATTTTACAACAACGCCAATGTATATTCAGGTTAATTAGAATGGATGCCAGTTGGAAATTAAAGGCAAAAATTTGGAGAGAATGGCGTCAAAGCACTTTTTGATGATATTTTGATAGCAAAGCTTAGACCAGGTCAGGAAATTGAGATGGAACTCATTTGTGAAAAAGGTATTGGTAAAACTCATGCAAAATGGTCTCCAGTGTCTACTGCATACTATAGATTAGTTCCAGACATTAAGTTCAATTGAGAAATAAAGGATGATGATGCTGTTGAACTTAAAAAGCTATGCCCAACAGGAGTTTTTGATATCGAAGACCTTGGCAAAAAAGGAAAAAGAGCAATAGTCGGAGATGTTAGAAAATGCACAACTTGCAGAGAGTGCATCAGACCAGATAAATTCAAAGATAAAGTAGATCTAGGGAAGATTAAGGATAGATTCGAGTTTCATGTTGAGTCAGTTGGAATCCTTCCACCACAAGTATTGGTCATGGAGGCTCTCAAAAAACTCAAAGAAAAGGCTTTATATTGGCTCGAGGTTCTAGATCAGGGAAATGAAGTGGATGAAGAAGATGATAATAGAAAATAATGATATAAATTAATTAATTAATTAGTATAATATCTATAATAATAATCATTAGATCTATAACAATGAACGAAAATGATGAGTTAAACTCTTCCGCAGATAAGTCCAAGAACAAGAATCGCAAAGGAACAGAAAATTCTGATAAAGAAATCTTGTTAACTGATGAAGAGGAGTCTCCACTTAACAAGAACAAAGGAAAGAATAATCCATAGCAAAAGAAAACCAATTTAAAATCTTCTTTAGATAATGAGTCACCTGTAAAAAAGAAGGCTCAATTCAACTTGAGTGCAGAGACTAACGTGCTCTCTGATGACGAGGAGGATATTAGGAAGAAGAAGATGAATAGAGCTTCTAGAAGGAGATTCGGTCACAATGTGAAGTTTGAAAGGTATAGGACTTCTAACGTGATAAAGATCATATGCATAACTCTTGCCATCATTATCATCCCTCTTGAAATTTTTGTGCAAAATGTATTGCAAACAGCTGAGGGTGAACTCATTGTAAGCATCCAAAAGTCATTTGGATACTCAGATGTCACGGCAGGATTTATGTAAGTGCCTTTGATTCTTGTTAGACCAGAAACTACCTGCTTATTTATGTTTTTGCTCTACTTATCTACAGACAGTTTAATAGCTTTCAAGAGCTCTATTTTAACATGCTTCGGTATTTACCTAATCACCTTCCTCAAATTATTGTACAAGGATGGCAGACCATTCTGGATTAATGCAGACATTATTGGCTATGAATGTAACTTTGACTTTGCTGGACCAGCCTATCATCTCTATATGGTCACATTCTTTTGGCTTTACAATATTATCATGTATTGCATGAAATACACTGAAAATGTTAATAAATTACTAGTTTTCTAATTGTTCATACTTCTTGGAGCAATGGGAATATGGATAGTTATTGCTGGTCTCTATCTGGGAACTATTTATATCTATCAAAATGTGATTGGATGCTTGTATGGTGTAATCTTCTTAGTTTTATGCATGAACTTTGATACTGAGATACATAGAATGTGCGAAAAGACTGGCTTTATTGTCCAAAGCTCTAGAAAATATAAATTTTATCTGTTCTTCTTATGTATTGGTCTGTTCGTATTAGCTATGATTTACTACAATTGTGAGTTAGATTAGTGGACAATGCCTTAGGCTTGGGTAGTTAATGCTAGTGAACCCTCGCATTTGTGCAAATAAAAGTTGTTAGAAACGTCTAACAATAGGTTAGGACTAGACTAGACATTCCTATACACAGGTATTCTATTCTTTATCACAGGAATGGGCTTTGGAACATCATACAGCTTGGTACATGTGGATTGTATTGATTGGGTTCATACTTCTCTATTGAAGAGAATAGTCAGAGGTGTAATTGGATGTGGTATCTCTGTTGGAGTGTTTTATTTATTCAGACTAGTGCCTACTAATGATGATCCTACCAAGTACTTCTTCCACTTTGCCTTGCCATGCCTTTTCCTCTCATTCTTTATCTATGGTTTCTTCCCCATAATATGTCAAAAGATAGGCTTAGTTGATAGAAATGATGCAGGTGTTGTTTATGGAGAAAAGAAAATAAGCTATAAGCCTCAAGATAAAGCAGACAAATTAATGGAATCTGAAGAAGATGAAGAAGAGGACATTAAAACTGCTGGTAATTTTGGAAATTAAAAGGGCTCTAAATGAAGAAATATAGATTAAATCGAATAACTATTAGGATGTTTAATTGTATTTGCTTGCTAGTCAATGTTTTAATACAATTCATGTTAACATTTATAATTACCATATCATGAAGAATCTAACCTTCAGGGGTTTTGGGGTTTTGGGGTTTTGGGG